ACTCAAAGAAGGGTAAGTAGTCTTGCCCCACATGAAAGTATACTGACGGAAACCATTAAAATCTCCAGAGAAATGTGTGGGAATAAGAAAAATTACTGAAGATGTAAAACATTCACTGGTTAACCAATCAGTAATCTGTGTGCTTTTCCAGAGAATGTAATGTCTGTGTCCCCTCAATATTCCATCTGAATGGAGCCATTTATGGATTTCTGAAATGCGCGTTCAGTGGGCCAATTTGATGAATCTAAGTCTCATCTCAAAACAGCACAGAGAAGGCAATGAAAGTCTAGTGTTACAACAAATATACTGAAACTTTAAAATACACATCTTCCTGTTCATAATTTCCCCTCTGAAAAATAAGAAAATCTTAAGTCCTCACATTGTCAGATCAATAAAAGGAAACTACTTAGAAGCACACAGAGTTCCCAGTAGATATAGAGCACAGAAATCTTAGACTATTTGGGTTTCTTTTAAAATTCCATTGTTCATGTAATGTTAGTCCCAGGCTTTCACTAGAAGAGAGCCTCTCCAAGGACCCCATCCATGTGGTCAAAGCAAAGTGACACTGTCACTTTAGAGGACTCTGGATCACAAAGTCCTCCTGTGTGATTTCATTCATTGATGGATGCTCAAAGTCCCTGCCCTCGAGATAAACACAACAGAGTAAATGGAGAAAGGTGTGTGCACAAAGGTGCACCTCAAGTGTCGACAGTGTCACAAGAAAGACCGTGCAAACTGCAGCTCAAAAGAGAGGGGAGAGTACTAGATTCCATAGGAGTAAGGGCTCAGACTAAGCTCCAAAAGGAGAAGTGGTAGGAAATGAATCCTGAAAGATGAACAGCTTTCTCTGTGTGTCTTGGGATCAGAGAGTGCATTTTGGAGCAAGCAGGAAATGCAATAACAGTTTTTCATGGCTGATCCTATTCTGCTTTCCATTCCTTAGGAAGACAGAGGACAGAACATTGGGGAACGGTGACTATTCTAATAGAAACTCGTAAAATCATCAGTGACAGTCTTGTTTTACACGCTGTAAACAGGGAGAAGGCACCCAGTGCCTGCCAGTTTTTCTTATGAGTGCTGTCAGAATGGTTGTTTCTGCCTCCTCTCAGAAGATGTGACATGAAAGGAAAAAAAAAAACACTGGTACGGAAGGAAAAAAGAGAGGAAGAACAACATAATAAACCAGATCTGTTGGGGTTCTGGAAGTATGCTTTCTAATTGGAATGGCTCTTCCTCTTGAAAATCTAATAAGGGTGGGTTTTATCCCAAACACATGGTAGGTAGTGATTATTATCCCATATATTATCATGGAGAATGTCTTGGAACAGAATTTCTATCTCTGAATACCTCATCAAATTAAATACTTTTGAATTACTTCCCTTTTCTCAGTATTTACTGTGTAAATACTGAAAACAATGTTTTTTGCCTTTCTCGAGGAAGCCCCAGAGATGGCTTTCTCTCTCTCTCTCTCTCTCTCTCTCTCTCTCTCTCTGTCACACACACACACACACACGTACATGCCTCACAGTCATAAAAAGGTAAATTTAATCACTGAAGAATCTAAGACATGAACCCCAAGTTTTCCCTCTTTGAATGTGTCCTTATGATCAGTTTGATTAGTGAATTTCAGCATTCAATATAAACCACTTTGGTCAAGGTTAGGCACAGCAATCGCCCCTACAATAGCCTCTAGAGTTATAGCAACACAGCACATCAACCACAAAGTGTCCAAAGCCAACTGAAACATTTCAGAAAGTAGTAGAGGCAGTACTGTGATACATAAAAAGAATGGAAGAACCACAGGAGCTATGGTTATGTTTTGTGAGAAATCCCTCAGTGTTTCAGGGTCTTGACCTGACTCTAACTGGTTTGGGGCTAATAAATCACTATCTTTTTGAGGACCCACTAGGCATAAAGAATATAGCTACATAGTTCCACTTTTATAACTTTGTGAAAAGTTATAAAACATACTTTGACTACTTCCAACTAAGAATGACTTCAAATAATAAACTGTTCTATTTCTACAGATTATAAAGATATTCCTGCCACCAAAAAATGATCTTTGGAAGTGGCGCTGTAGCTCAAGTGGTAGAGCGCTTGCCTTGAGTTGAAGAGCTGAGGGACCATGCCCAGGCCCAGAGTTCAAGCCCCATGAACGACAAAAAAAAAACTATATACAAAAAATGATCTTTGTCCTATTAAGCTTTATCAAATACCTCTCCCCACTTCTTCTGGTTGTTATATTTTTTTCCTCTTAGGTAACTCAATTATTCCAACATGTACATTGTAATTCTCTGTGTGTGTACTCAGATCTTAAATTCAAGCCAACTAACAGCCTGCCTCCTGCAAAAGGGGTATAGGCCGTTTCTTTACGTGTACTTTTTGTTTTGTTTTGTTAAGTGGGGGAACAAATTCTGTTATCTGACCAGACCTATCATAATCCCCTATGAAATTGCAGGCAAATCTCTGCCCCTCCTTCCCTCATTCCAAAGTCCAGGGTGCTCTAGCACCTAAGTCATTTTGTTTTGGAGACAGGGTCTCACTAACCTTACTTGGACTGGCATCATGCTCTCAATCCTCTAACCTATTCAGCCTCCAAACTAGCAGGGGAATTAATCTCACCTGGCTTATCTTGATTTTTTTTTTTTTGGTAGTACTGGGGACATACATTCTACACTGAGTCACACCCCTCCAGCCCTTTTTTTGTACTGGTTCTTTTTCAAGCAGAGTCTCACTTCCTGCCTGGGTGTGCACTTGGATGGTGATCAGTGATCTGCCTGTGTATGGCCTCCTGTCACAGCTGGGATGACAGGCACATATCCCCATGCCAAGCTTCCCATGTTGAGGTGGAGTCTTAGGGACTTCTCTGCATGGGGCTGGCTGTAACTACAATCCTCCTAATCTCAGGCTCCCAGTTTCCAGGCTGATGAGACGGAAGGTATCTCCCATATGTGTTCTAGCTGGCCTTGAACCGCATCCTTTAGATCTCAGCTTTCTAAGAAGCTAAGGATTATAGGCGGGGGCCACCAGTGCCTGGCTCCCTCAATCTCATCATTATTCAGTTTCTTCACTCTTCCAGAAGACTGGGTTTCAACTATCCTAAAATACAATGAATGATTCCTGTGACTCATCAAATTTCTCCTCTCTCCCCAGTCTCCTCCCACACGCAGAGCTGACCCCGGGCCTTCACTTCAGTGTCAAGTGATAAAGCTTACATGACTTTCTCTGAAATATAAAGCATGGTGCTCAGACTACTCATGCTACTTATTGACACCCACGAGTCCCTTGTACTTTTGATTCGGAGAAGAAGAAACAAAAGTGACAATTCCCTCCTTCGGAAATCTAATATTTTTTGCTTCCTTTTCAGCTGTTATTCTGGGGGAGGATTTATTTACTGTCACTGGGATCTGGTTGCTAGGTCCAGTAGCTTACTCTGTAGGAGTGATAGTAGGGCTTAGTTTTCTAAATATTAACCTTTCCTTCAAGTGTTTGGCTTTTTTCTTACTGACTGCTTCACCCTTTACCCTTTCTGACAAAGGGCTATGGTTGGTACCTATACAAGGAGAAGAGCTCTAGCTCCAAAGAGTATGTATATTCTGTTTATTAAAAATGTTAACAGTCATATGGTTTCCTGAAGACAAGTAGCTCAGACCCTAAGTCCCATAAAGACTAAAGAAAATCATTCAGGACTCCGGAATTGATCAGACTGCTTCTAGTACCTTTTCCTGGTAGGTGTTTCATGGAACATGTCTCTAGAATGCCACTCTAACACAAAAGAGGCAGTCTATCTACCACCACCACCATCCCCCCACAAAAAAAGAAGCAAATTTCTTAGTTTGACCTAGACAGCTTTTCATTTATTTCACTCAATGAATGCTAAACTGACTGCCTATTGCATCCATATTGCTATGTGCCTACTGGGAGCTCTGGAAAGGAAATGGGGTCTCTTTGCTTTTCTCATTTCCTAGAGGCTGCATTCCTTGGCTCACGGCTACTTCCTGCACTTGCAAAGCCAGCAGTGAGGCATCTTCAAATCTCCGACTGTCCTAACACATTCACTCACTTACAAGAACCCCTATGATTACAATGAGTCACCCAAATAATTCAGGATAATATCCCATCTCAAGTTCCACAATGTAATTAATTATAAGAAGACTCTTTTGCTGTATAATGTAAACACAGACACAACTACTAATTTCCTCTCTTTAGAGAGAATTCTTTCATCCAGAATTCCAAGGTAAACAGCGCTTCTGCAATGACAGCTCGCCACCTAGCTGCCACACAGAATAACTCATGACGGCAGAAGGAAGATGGCCGTTCAATGTTCAATTCTTACAGGTACAACAGGTAAAAACAGGAAGTTAGCATGCCATCTACAGGACAATTTGTTTTATCTGTGCATCCTATTACCTACCCTGGCTAGACTCCTTCAAAAGCTTATAGGTATTGTTTGTTCCCAGCTCAGTCTATGTATGTATTTAGTCGTTTAGTTAATTCAAACTCAGTTCCTGAAGTGTATGCCAGTTAAGCCATGTGTACAATGTATAAAACTTGCTTTCATATTTCTGTGTCACATGAGAGTGGCCATTGATTATGGCAAGTAAGTGATACATACAGACAGAAAACTCAAAAAGAAATACAGTATTCAGAGAAGACATGATTATCAAGTATTAATGTAATTTTTGAAGAATGTGCTAAAATGACAATAATGAGTAACAGCACTTAAAAAAAATTTTTTTTTGGGGGGGGTTCCAGTCGTGAGGTCTGAACTCTGGGCCTGGGCGCCTGTCCCTCAGCTCTTCAGCTCAAGGCTAGTGCTCTACCACTTGAGCCACAGCACCACTTCCGGCTTTTTTGGTTTTGCTTATGTGGTGCTGAGGAATCGAACCCAGGGCCTCAGGCATGCAAGGCAAGCGCTCTACCTCTGAACCACCTTCCCAGCCCCAGCACTTAAAATTTTTAACAACAACAACAAAAAAAAAACTACAGTATTTACTCACATATAATGGAGCTTGCTGTGGAGTAAGTTTCATGACCGAGGACACTGAAAGAGAAATACAAGATATAAATAAGAATAAACTATTAAAAAGATGTTAAAAGATGTTTCCAGAAATATAAAAAACACTTAAAGGTCCAGCTCTGTGAGCGTAATCCAACATGTATGATTACTGTGTATCCGGCTTTCCTTAGAGTTTGGGAAGGAGGAAGCTTGAAGACTGCTGAATTACTTATATTCCAGACTGAAATCTTTCGAGAAAGGAGAGAGATTTGCTAATTGAAAAATAAAGACAGGAGGCTTTTCTGTCACAGAAATTTTCAACAACCAAGAGGACATTTAAAGCAATACCAAAGTAGAACCAGTAGGATCTGGTTTTATATAACCCTACAAACTCACAAAATGCTGCATACCCAGGAAGGAGGCTCTCCCCACATCCACTAGGGAGGGTTGGGAGGGTGAGAGATGACAGAAAAAGGGACGCTGCAGCTTGCCGGGAACAGCTGAACGGCTATCCTTCTCAAAGCTAATGGCTGAATTCCCTGGTTATTTCTGTCACTAAATGAATTCTCACAAAAGAGCTTTAGAGAAGTCTTCCAGGGTTGTATAATATACTTCTGAATAGTAAGAATAGCATGTTCTCCAAAGTTGAACTTGGTGATTCACTAGGGCTTCAGAATGGCAAATCTTCCGCCAAACACTCTGAATGTGGACATAAACCAATTTCATGCTCACTAGAGTCAGAGTAGACCCGAATGACTTCATTATAATTCCATCTGAAGAAGTTTCTTATTCAAAATACATAAATTAAGGTACATACTAACCATAAATGTAAACAGCACAGAAATGTTATTCACACAGAAAAAAAATAAATTCCACATCTAGTATTCTACCAGATTATAACCTCAGTGGCAATGAAGTGAAATCCAAACAGTACAAATTAAAGGTTATCAAACCCAGAGAATGATGTCCATGGGTGACCATGGGTGATTTCAACAAACTCTTCTGGGTGTGAAAATCCTCACAGATCTGCTCCAGATCAAGCTATATATTTCTGGAACCAGTTAACCAAAAAGGCAATTAATACACTTTGGGAGGCTCTGGAATCTAATCATCTCTAACCAGTTGCAGACCACTGGCTTCACTGTGTTCTGCTGGTATAAAGGCAGTAAGAGAACCAACTCAGGCACCTCTGCACCTATTCTCAATTCTCCACAACTGAATGAACTTCCTGGTTCTGGCACACTTTCCCTCCTGCCTGCCTTCATTTAATGAGCTTTTGCCTTTAGATGCTAAAATTGAATGAAAACCAGTCTAGAGAAACGAGGAAATAAGCAATTTCTCTTTAGTGGAAAAATTAAGTATATTTCAAGTCCATTACCATTCAAGTCGTAAGCATGGATGAAAGAGAAAGTTATCCATTTTTGTTTGTTTGCCGGTCGTGGGGCCTGAACTCTGGGCCTGGGCGCTGTCCCTTAACTCTTCAGCTACCACTTAAGCCACAGCACCACTTCTGGCTTTTTCTGCTTATTGTGGTATTGAGGAATCGAACCCAGGGCCTCATGCATGCAAGACAAGCACTCTACCGCTGAGCCACCTTCCCAGCCCACCCATTTAGTTTTAAATCACTGGGTTTTTAGTCAGCTTTCCAGATCCTATTCAGACTGTCCTGGGACAATGGCAAATTTGAGTTTCTGTGGCTGAAGTTGAGTAAGAGTGCTGGTGAAACTCACATGGATCTAAGGAAGGATCGATGCCATCTGAACTGTGGGGAATCATGAACTCATCCAGACATATTTCAAAGCCAGAACCTGTACAAGTTGTCCCAGTGCAGGCATTAAAGAGGGATGACAAAGTGTCAGTTCTCCCACACTGGCCAAGAAGACAGGTCATTGTTACGCAGGCAGCACTGGCTGCCAGAAAGAATAGTTGTCAAAAGCAATCAAAGCAATGATCAGAAGGTTCCAAAAATGGAGACTTGTGATGGTAAGTTCAGATGACTTTTAGGTTTCAATACTGACCCACAAGGAGAAAGGCAGAACTAACCCTCGTAGAACTTTCTATTCTCTCCATTTTAATGGTAAAAATATTAAATGTTTCCAAGATTACATTATCTAAAACTAAAACAAACTGTGAGAGAGACCAGAGTCCCCAAAAAGAGGGATTCAAGCCCTGATATCGACACATGTACTTTTCTCCAACATAGCTAAGCAAGTCCTTGTTTTGACAACAGAATTTTTTTGTGAAATCTTCCCAAAAGGAAAGTTAATGAGCTGTGCTAAATCTACCAAATAACTTAACCAAAAAATATTAAGAGAGAAACTCTACTATTTCTCCCTCAACAAATAACCAATAAGTAATTTAAAGCAAATTCACAGGTTGAAATCAGGCTGTTTCCACATACCAATACATGAGAAATGAGACTAATAAGCTCATCTAGCATTAGAAAGATTAAGAATGGTAATAACAAACTCCCAAAACTTAAATGAGGTGGTGTTAGAATATTCACCAAATGCACTACTCAAAACTAAAAGCAGCTACATGTCCAAAGAGGAGTCACAAACTTGAAGGGTGTAAAATAATAAGCAGAGGTAATCACTGAGTGCTTTTGTTTTCCACATCTTCCACTCTATTTTATAATGCTGAAAGAAAAGTAACACATAATGTAAAACAAGACTCACCCAATTTTAATGTTAACTGTCTCAGTTATGTAAACAGATGCTCTCTCTCAAGACCTATACATAAATCTGCTCTTCTGTCTGGTGGCTTATTTATTGGTTTGTTTTGGTGGCACTAGGGATCAAATCCAGGGCCTTGAAAGGCACCACACAAACTGAGCCACAGCTCAGTTTTAAAAAAAGCAAAAATGGTGGCTTTAATCCTCCTGTCCTTGTTACCAAGATCAGAAAGGAAAAACCAACTCTCTGGAAGGTGGGGCCCCAGACAGAGATAAAGCAGGAGGCAAGTTTCACCAAGCGGAAAAAGGAGGCTCACAGAGCAGAAAGAACAGCACAACAAGATAAGAACTATACAGATGAATGAGAAGTGCAAAGAAAGGGCAGTAGGAAAGAACACTTCTATGACTCACATAGCTCCAGGAGGCCTGGCCTTAGAAATCAAGAAAAGGAAAGGCAACAGCATCAACAAATTTTCTGCCTTTTGTTTTCTTTATGCTCAGCTCAAATTTCTATTATTCACAATTGTAATCTCTGAGATTCACAAAAAGTAGCATTAGAAGATGCTACATGGGCTACATAGACTTAATCTCAAACCCAGGAAGAACCAGGAATCTGCTGTAAATCAGAATCAAATCAATTAGGCCAGAGCCTCACCATGGCTTCACTGAGATGCAGCATGTCATAGTTGGCTTTCCAGTCCACCTGCAAAGGCGCTGCATTCCCCTTATCTACCGTAAAGTCAAACACCATTAGTCACAAAGCGTGGTATAGAGGGGTACTGGGAACGCTGAGCAACCTGGGTCAGCAGCCCAGGCCAGTCATCCTTCTTCCCAGGGAGAAACTGCTGCCAGTTTTCCTGCCTGTGCTTGTAGACGTGAGTGCCAGGGCCTCATCACCATAAGAGAATCTCTCCAGGCAACATGTGCCCCTCTGACACAACCTTCCTAAAATGCTGTTTTCATTCTGTAGTACCCTCTCTGCATACCGTGTAGTAAGTACAATCTTTTTTAAGACATTTCTTTTGAAGTAACAACTAATTCTATTCCTTTACGGAATTCTCGGGTACAGAACTGACATCGTGATCTTCCATGACTCAAGAAAGAGAGAGAAAATATAAAAGCAGTTTGGGGGCAAACTTGCCTACTTTAGTTTTTTTTTTAAGAGCTTCCAACCTCCAATGTGACCTATCAGTTATGTAAAATAAATAGTTTAATCACTGTTCTGGACATGTGTTTCTATGAATATGGTTTCAGGGCCATAGCTTGATGGAGGGCTCCACTAAGCTTTATTTTCTGCAAAATAGGGATAAATAAGGATACAAGATATAAAAAACACTTAGTTAAATATTATTTAGGCAATAAGAAAATAATAAAGTAGGTTCCTGAATTACATGACAACTAACCAGGTTAGCACTAACCTGACATCACAATCAACTCCTACATCCTACTTACTTATGCTCATCACCAATTCTAACGGAAGACTGATTGTTTCTGAGGAAAATGTAGACACCAACAGATCTAGTACTCTTTTAAAACATGCCATTTATCATTGGTGAACCCTCAGAAGCCCTACGCACTCCCCTCGCTACTCCTCTGGTGCCTCTCAGTCATGTTCAGGGCCCCAGCCTATGTGCCATCTTCTTTAGCACTCCCCTTTCCCCACCCACCCCTTCCATCTGGTCCTGCGCCCTCTACCACACTCAGTCCTCATGCCTTTGCTCATGCTTCCACCCTTGCAGACTGTTACTATAGAATTATTGCTAATAATCTAAGCTACACAGAAGCAATAAGTGACGTGTTATCTAATGTTTTTTTCCCTCTACTTCTGTCTGACTTTTCTCCAACTTGGTAACTGTTCTCTAACACACTGCCAATGTCTTTTGCAGCACCCCTCCATACAATCACCATGAATGCCACATTATCTGCCAATGTGAACCTTCAAGTAAATACTACAGACAGACTTATCCAACATGAACATCAAAGACAAGTTAATCAGAATTTCTGTGCAATGGATGGATGGCCTACAAGTACCCCCAAAAAAAATCACCTATCAAAATGAAAGTATTTAAACCCTGCCTACTCCCAGAAGAAAGCCCCAGTACTCCAGAAGGTCACTCTAGTAGCTTACTAAGACAGTACAGATCCTGCCAAATGCTGTCAAGTTCAGCCTGAGACAATTTCTTGCTGAGGACAGGGACAGATTGGAGGGCTGGGCATGCTCTTTCTGGAGAACCTCAAGGTGAGGGGCAGGTGAAGGGCCATGCTGCCTCAGACTCTACATGATGGACAGTGCTTCTGGGAGGCGCACGTGGACATCATTTCAGTTCTCTTTTGGTGTCAACAAAGGTCTGTGGTTTCCTGAAAATACAGT